TACAGTTGTCTAAATATACCGCTTTCCTCGTTTATATGTATTCCCTAATCTTCTGCCATTTCATTGTAATGAACAATGGCATTTCCAAAGTATATATATTTTTGTGCGTTTACTACTTATCAGCAACCTATGCAAAATAGATTTGTAATATACAATTCCAGAGCTTAAACTAGCCATTAACATTTTTATCTTACTTCAATTGATCCCGAAACCAAAGCTCTGGGACAACTGAATAGAGTATATTTAATTTTTATTGAATGTCATTGAACCGTATAGTTTAACATTGTAAAGAACCTTTTTTTTTCTTAAGCCGGGGTTTTTCTCGCCGGATCCCAGAGTCGTTACAAGAATATTTTTTCTCTGTAACCCTGAATCGTTCGTATAATAATTTTCAAGCCACTTAGTTTTTTTTTTAATTTCTTTATTATTTTTCGGAATTTATTTTACAATATTTATAACTTATTTGCTAATAAATATATAATACATATTAAGAATTATAATAAGAATTTTTAATTAATGGTGGATTTGGAACCAACACTACCGACAAGGCTGTGTTGCTTAGGAACAGTGTTACCGATAGGGCTACACTGATGAGCTTGGAACCAACGCTACCGACAAGGCTGCGTTGCTTAGGAGCAGTGTTACCGATAGGGCTACACTGATGAGCTTGGAACCAACGCTACCGACAAGGCTGCGTTGCTTAGGAACAGTGTTACCGATAGGGCTACACTGATGGACTAGGAAAATGTTATTTAAATATTTTTAATTACCTGTTTATACACTTGATCTGGCTCTGTCAAGTGTTCTGCTTCGTGGCCTGCCATAGAGTCTCTGGTGATGTGCACTGTTCGAAGTGCTGTGGCCAAGTCTCTCTGGTGATGTGCACTGCTCGAAATGCTGTGGCCAAGTCCCTCTGGTGATGTGCACTGTTCGAAGTGCTGTGGCCAAGTCTCTGTGTTTTACTTTGCTTCTCCTTTTATACGGATTTTGGAAACGGGACTTCTAATTGTTGAGTGCACTTTGTACAGCTTTGTTATTGTCCATTCTAAGTGTCTGCGTCTGGTATGCTTACTGTTGCTGCACATTTGTTAAAATTTTACAAAATAGTTACCCTCAAACAAAAAGGTGTGTTATTACTTAATTTATATTTTAAAAGGAATTGCTTTTAATTTTTATTAAATTAATATTAACTTAATGATACTGATTTTATATACTAACTTAATAATACCTTAATTTTAAACTTATTCATACCTTAATTTTTATTACTACCTTATACTAATATTTTATTTTATGTGTAACTTAACTAATAATAAACAAATTATATTTAACTAAAAATACCTTAATTCTATTGTTGTTTTTTTGTTTTTTTTGTTTATTTTATTTTCTTGTTGTTTGTTTGTGACGAGATTCTAAAACTCGTCACAAACATTAGCATATCATTATATTTAGACAAATTATAATATTATTACATATATTTTTTTTTCTCATTGTTACATTTACGCAATTATTATATAACTATAATATTATACATTCAAAAAAATTTACAAAAAGATAATGAATTATATCTAAGAAAGAAATAAAAACAATCATAACAATTAATTACGATAAAATATCCAGTATTATTATATAAAATTTTTTTTTCTCTCATACAAAATATACAAAAAAAAAAAATGTATAAGAATTTGATTTGTGTTGAATTTTGCTTTCTTGTCCGATCTCGTTACTGATTTTGATTTATGGAAAACTTTGCTACATATATAGGGGAAGTTCAGAATATTCTTAAAAACGCCAAAAAGGCTAGTATCAGAGGATATACTAAGCCCACGATAGCCATTAAACTAAATAGGTTAGATGACCTTAAAAGGCTTATAGAAGCAACATATGTAACCAAAAATTTTGAGGAATTTTTAGCTTTAAAAGAAGTTTTGTTTAGAAAAATATACTCAGAC